GGCATGCAAGAATTTCCTGCTCTTTAAGATTACAAGAAATTTTTCCTTGTTATTTCATACAGTTCTTTCAACAGTTTACAGATACAAAATTGACAAGTTTTTTTCCCTTCTCCAAACAGAAGCTAGTTTATAAAATTGAGGAAATACAAAATATTTTTAATCATTTAATCCCAAGCAAGGTGATAAAATCCCTAAGACACAAAGAGTTACTGAGAATGCAATGAAAAAGAATGGATAATAAAAGAACAGGATTTAAGGAGACAGATGATTGCATTTAAATTTTTGAATATAAAAGTTTACTGGAAAGCAAGAAGCTAGTTATGAAATGGACAAAGTCTGACAATTATGTGTGACGTCATTTGTTTACATTTGATACGCCATGAGCAGATATAAATGTACACGAGAGATTCATGGATGATTGAAGTGTAAAAGCAGTAAATTCAACCTTGCTAACTGATCGATCCTCTGTGGCGAAATCGGTAAAAGCACGTCAGGCTATATGATGGTTCCATATAGGATACAGGTTCGAATCCTGTCGGAGGACGAATATTTTTTATGAAAATTTCTTGGACATTCAGGCTGGTAGATGTTATTTAATACTGCTTATTATAAACAGAACATTTACTTAAATATTTGTATCTATAAAAAGAATGTTAAACATAAAAATGTCTTAAAAGAAGCTAGTTCCACAAGTGAAAAGTGCAAGAGAGAAAAAAACTGTTAGTATAGAACTTATGGCTACATCCAGCATTTTCAACTGTAAAATGATGAAACCTAGTTGCCAATCTAGTACTGCATTGAAATTTGTAAAGTTGATGCACCAAAGAGGAAAGCCAGTATTTATCCGACCTGCCCATGAGGCAGGATGTGGCACAAGGCCGATTTTTATGTGGGGGTGATCCGAGACCATACACTTGGGCAAGACTTTGCCCTTCAGCACAGCCTCGTCTGGGTTCCACTCTGCCTGAAAGCAGAGAGTTCAATGTCTTGATGCTTGAAAAGCCTAAGCTGGAAACCAAAGATGAAAGCTCTTCAGAACAGTTAGCCTGAAAATATTTATACAAAAAGTACGGGAAAGCTATACTATGTTGGTGAGAAAGTGACTGTAGCAGAGATGCCTGGTCAAAGTCGTTGCAAATTCTTCTGTTTATTTTTTTCAAGAATCTCTAGATACATAACAGAATCACCAGAACAGATGTGGCAGCAATTTTCAATGCATGGACAAAGGCTAGACTTATAAAGATGTAATATAGATTTTGGCAAGAAAAACTGTCTAGAATGACACAGTGACCTAACTTTCCGAGCAGAAGACCTAGCAATTGATTTAATAAAATCATTTCTCATCATGTTCTTTGAGAGGATTAAAAGAGAGCAGTTTTGTTTTCGAAGCATTAAAATTAATAAGCTACGATTTCGAACTTAAACTTAATGATTAAGCTCATTTCCTCAAAACACGTTAACGATTTGGAAAAGAATATTTTGTGTCTTTATTTATTATGTTAAACCCCCAACTTTCAGCCTGAGTACAAAACCATGGTTCCAATATCGACCTGCCCTACTATAGCATGACCACTGCTTCTCCAAGGATTTGGCTAACTGCTCCATAGGATCAGCATCTGAGGATAAGGGGAGAGTGTCATAGTTTTATCGGTCATTGGACATGATTTATAACCTGTTAGAGGGTATAAGGCTAAGTCAGAGATGACCAAAATTAGGGGAAAGTATTTTATTTCCGATATCTCAAGGGCAGATAAATTGATTTAGTTTGGTTAATTGCATATCAACTCATTATGGGTCATTCAATGCTGAAATTATATTTTCTTGTGAGCTTTGGTAATTTTTTTTTTAAAAAATGTATTGCTGGTAATTTAATTATTTTCTTAATATGAAAACATATTGCAGGAAATTTTTCCTACTGTATTTTTATATTTTCAGGTTTTGACCCCAGTTTAGGGGTTCACTATTTGTCCCTAGCTGGGACTCTAACAGATGCTACTACCCGGGGGTCAAGGTGGACCTGGGAACAACAGCAACTAAGAGGTGGTTTCACGCTCCTCAAAACAGCAGTTGAGATTGAGGAATCAATTTTGAATTCCAGTTAAGTTCATTACATTCACTTACATGCTAATACTTTTGAAAAAGGCATGAATCCATCTCTCCTCCCCAGCCAGATATGGGTAAATAGCAGGACAGGCTAGGTCCTACAGACTTGGTTAGTGACTAGTCTAGAAGAATGAAAATTCTGAATTCAAACCAACCTTGAGACAGTTAATCTCCATCAGACTATCTCACCCAGGAAACACCACTGCTATTATGGCTGCAGTACATGTGGTACCTCTATGACCCTAATGGGCTATGAAACTCATGATTATATATATATATATATATATATATAGCCAGCTACAAATTTCTGAGCACATCCATCTAGCCAATCCCTGTTGCAGACTCCAGCTCACACACATTTGTGTTTGTTCTACACCCACAGAGCCCACCTATAGTTTATACTGCAACTATACTGAGCAAACCTTAGTATATAGGAAAGAGAGTGCATGATCTAGTGTAAATGATAGTTTGAACAAGGTCAATATGATCAAACCCTCGGTCAAGTACAACAATCGATGGCTTCTGAATCATTCCATCAACCCAATTTCCTTTACAAGGTTTGGGGCAACCTGTCACATGTTTTTTTTTTTCATCAATTAATACATAAACGACATGGAAAACATTGAAGATAGAGAAATGCTCTTATGCCCAGTGTATCTCAATGATTAACTTAATTGCCTTCATTGAGCTTCCTGTTGTGTTTGGGTTTTTTTTTTGTTTTTTACTGCTATTGTTTTTAACTGCCCCACATTGTAGTTTTGTGAGTAAAAGATATACATTAGATGATTCAGGATATAAATGCTGAAAGTTAGTGCCCTTTCAATACATTTTCACCTTAATATAACTTACACTTCCAATACATTATTATTGTCTTTCTGGGCACAAAATTCATTACTTAGGATTTTTTTTTTTTTCTTTTTGTCATTTGATTATCCATATCTGTATATACTGAAGTCCTGGAAAAAGCCAACAGTTAAAGCATTGATTTGCTGATCATGAAATACCATTTTTGATGGTCAGGACATGTAGAAAGAATGAGAAAAAGAAAAATTTAAAGTTTCCACATCAAGTCTTAATCAGTGAGCTCACTTCAGGCGAAAAGACAATGGGGTTGCCCTCTTTGAAGATACAAGGATCAACACAAAAGAACACTGAAGGCCACTAGCCTTGAGCCTAAATTGTTTGAAATATAAGCCCCAGACTGTTTTGACTGGTGGTGTTCCATCAGCAAAACCAAAAACTTCAAAGCTATCAGAAGAGAAAAAGAAAGAAATCAAATGACACGATAGAAAGGCTTAAGAAAATCAAACTCATCATCCACCAACAATGTCATTGACTTCCATGCAAGAATTGGTATACTTAGTCAACAACTGCATCATTATAAAAGAACTAATCAGTAATTAAATTCTTGGATACAAGAGATAAAGCTGTCGTCAACAATATATACTAATCATAAGTATATCTTTTGTAATGTTTTATTACCAACATCACTCACAGTGCTCTATTTTGTATTTAAATAAAATGTATATTCTAAAGCAATAATTATCTCAGACATATTTGGTTAACTAATAGACAAGTTCTGTCTATAAATTGTTTTATTTAATTTTTCAAATTTCAAAATTAGTTTTTTTGTATTATATGTGTGTGTGTGTTTTTAAAAAAGAAACATACACTTCCATATATTGTCCCCTATATTTATATATGTAGGCATGTATGTATGCGGTGGCTTTCAATTTCATCATCATTGCCGTTTGTCTTTTTACACAATGTTTTGTTTGTATACATTCCTGTTTCCTGTCTGCCAGCTGTGTTCTGAAAATTTGTTGAGATTTGTTCTAGAAGACGCAATACATATTGTCTCTAATACATGTCACATTTATGCATGCTTTGAATTGCTTCCTCTTAAGTTCTGTGCTGAACTTGTAACCTCTTGGTGAACTCTGAATGGTGCCCCCAATCTCACAGGACATGCCTATGGAATCCCAAGATTATCACTTGCTCTTATCACTTGCTCTTTCCTGATTAAGGGCTTCCACAAGCAATTAATATCTATGCTCAGTCTCACTACATGAGCATAGTCTATGAACAAATTCTTTCAGTCTTCTCCAATGTTTTTCTTTACCATTGTTCACACACTACAAGGCCTAATTGCCACTCAAGGTAGAGGATTATTGATTGGGGAGGATGAAAAGGTATATGGGGGTGGGCAAAGGTTGCATATTGTGAGGATATGTAGGATAGATAATGGTTGAACCTCAACTTGAAGAGGTTAATATTGTAGTGATCAGAGACGCATCCTCTTGGGAGTCTATTCCACACTGCCAGAGTTCTGTGAAGTGAAGAGACTGTGCGAGTGGAACTTCCTCTTTACAAATGGAACATGAAGGGAATGAGGAGGACTTAACTCCATATATGTGGCATGGTGGTCCTAGTTGTGAAGGCCTGAACTGGTGGAACCAAGTAATGTAGTTCCTTTGAATATTTGCCATGAAGATAGCAATGGAGTAGCAAATGGCTAGCAACGTTTCATCTGTGAGGAGAGAGTTGAAGGTGGGAAAACAATTCATCACCTACAAGGCCATGCAAACACTGAGACTGAGCATAGTATGTGTGCAGGTACTTTCAACCTTCTCATTTACCAAGGCTGGTTCTTAAGATTATGACTTTCTTTGATTAAAGTTGGTGCATTTTCCTACTCTTGTTGCACCTGGTCAGCTATAATTGATTTTAAAGTGTCTTTATAAATTATAGCTTTTTAGTGTTCTTCAGGTTTTATTTTTAATGGCACAGCTGGTTAGACCCTTGTATTTAAAGATGAAAAAGTTTGTCCAAAACTACATACAATGATTAAAACAAGAGAAGGCAATTAAGTATCCTAAAAGAAATAATTTACATACCTGACTGAAAAGATTTGTATAGAAATCAAACATTGTATCGCCTGCTTCCATTAGGAAAAAGTTCTGCAATAGAAAATGAAATGCATTTAGTACTATATAAAGAAAAACGATTATATATATATATATATATATATATATATATATATATATATATATATATATGTAAAATCGTTTTTCTTATTTAAAAATAATAAAAATAGAAAATGTGTGTGTGTGTGTGTATATATATATATATATATATCTCATGATTTCACAGTGCAGGTCTTACCGACTATGACTGTCATTCAGTGATCTACTTACAGTCACATCACGTTGAAACACTGGTTGCCATATGATCAGCAATGTTGAGCCTGGTCTATACCTAGATGGGTGACTGCCTTGGAATACCAAGTGCTGTAACCATGGGTGTGCAGGTGGTGTAAAGGATAATGGCTTGGAATTGTTAATTGGAGAGCTGAGTTTCAATTCCAGTTTGGTTTGTTATATTCACTTATGTGCAAATACCCTTGAGAAAGGTATGAATCCACCTCTTTTCCCTCTTGCTATGGGTTAATTAGTAAAACTCATATCACTAAACCAGTATTATCTTAAAAAAGATATTCTTACAATCTAAAACTAGTAAAACTTGTTTGTAAAGCAGTTTTATAATTGTCATGATGAAAAATGTATGATACTACAATCCCATATCTTCTTTGCATCAGCTTAAACTGACTTTTTTCAAATATTTAATGACTGGCCACTGCTATCTGTGTATGTCTAACTGTTAGAGCAGTTACTGCAGACACCTGGTCAGGCACATTTGTGTTTGTTCAACATTCCCAGAGCACACCTGTGGTTTATACAGCAACCTTGCTGAGCAGACATTAGTTACAGATTCTGGGAGATAGCACATTATCTGGCATGATCAATAGTCTGAACATAGGCAATACCTTCAAACCCTCAGTCACGATGACTTGTGTCTTCATGCTAGCACAATCATTGATGGTTCTCAAATAGTACCATTAACTCAATTTCATTCAAGACCTGAGTCAAACCATGATATGGTTTTCAGGCAATTTCCAAATGTGCTTCATGCCCAGTTTGGCTCTCCAGGCTGATAACATCAAGAAGTCACCTTCCTGACAAATTGACATGATGTGAATTGAACCTGGCTCTCACAGTTGGAAAGTGAACATTCTAACCCTTGGGTCACATATACCAAAACTATAATTATCATATAATAATTGTGCTTGTCCCTCTATTCGCTAGGTCATAAATCATTATACTCTGCCAATACCTCTTAAACAATGGACTGTTCTGTTCTGATCACATGGAAAGACAAAAGACTTATCAGAGATGTGACTTGGTTTCAGTGAAAAAAAAAGAAAGAAGTGTTTAACGCCTTCTGCTTATACCTCATAAATAATGGACTATTCTGTTTTGATAGCATGTGAATACAAAAGGCATATCAAAGATGCTACTTGGTTTCAGTAAGAAAATGAAAAAAAGAAAGATAGACGTGCTTACCGACTGTTGCAGTGAAATGGGAAAAGTTGTCAATTTCAAATCTTTTCACTTGTACCTCCTTACTTCTTAAAATAATAACCAACTTTCATTATTAGAATCTTTTGTTAATGTTGTTAAGCTCAAATATTTAACGATGCAATAGGGGAATTTCTACGGATTTTTTATTGTCGTAGAACTTGTCACGACCTTATTCTATCATTAACTGAAAAATTAAGATTCATCATAAATTTAAAATAGGAAAATTGTGAAATTTTCAAGGATGTCAACTAGTACACCATGATTTTGGTAAGTAAAAATTTTACTGAAATATGTTGGAAATTTTGGAATTCTTCATCTGAAAGCAAGAAAGTATGAACTTTAAGCAAAACAACCATGAAATAAAAAGTCTCAGTTTAAATTGATGCCAGGTGGATATGGGTTTAAAGATTCAGTGTCAGTGTGTACACGTTATGAAAATAGTCCTTGTAAAGGCGGAAAAGAATGAGAATGGATGAAGGGAAAAGGAGATATGGAAATTTATCAATTTTATTGCAAAGATTGATTGAGTGATTCATTTTTTATGACTTATCAACCCTTTGCAGGTCAATTAATGCCAGAAAATATTTTCTTTAGATTGTAAGAATTTTTTGAGATAATGGTTTAGTGATATAAATCTTACTAATTAACCCACAGCTTGGGGGAGAAGAGGTAGATTCATACTTTTCCCAAGGGTATTTGCACGTAATTAAATTTATTGAACCTAACAAGAATTGGGACTCGGCTCTCTGATTAATAATTCTGAGCCATTATCTATTACACCATTCGTTGTTGGTATTACCAAGTGGTTACCCATCTAAGTACTGATCAGGCTTGATGTTGCTTTTCTTCGGTGATCATCCAGGAACAAGTGTTTGAACGTGATGTAGCTGTAAGCCTTGACTGCAAAGAAGATGATGATCTACAGAGACATTTTTTTTTCACAAATTCAAAAATTAGTACAATATTTGAATTTGTGAAAAAAAATGTCTGGTCAAATGACTAGTCATTGAAAACAGTCTTTCTTTTTCAGTAACAGGAAGAAGAATCAATTTATCATCATCTTTTTCATATTCTCTAACAATCGGTAACCTATTGTGCCTTAGTGGCTTTATTGCCTTGCTTGGTGGGGTGAAGTGATAAAAAAAAAAATGATTGGTCTCATAAGCAGGAGGCTGGGTTACATTTGATCAATTAACAAGGAAAAGCATCACAAGGACAAAATTAACAAAATCATCAACACAGACAAGAGATCCCCAATCAGCCCAATAATAATCAACACCTGAAGACTGCCTGATGAAACATTGTGTTTATAATAACATCTATAATAATCAGTACGGAGGCATAGTGGAGTGATAGATAGCGGCTCGGATTGCGGAATCGGTGAGCCAAGTTAAATTCCATTACATTCACTTATGTGTTAAATACCCTTGGGAAAGGTATGAATCCTCTTTTTCTCCCCCCAGCTACGAGTAGATAGCAGGACAGACTGGGTTCTATAGCCTTGAATGGCACCTGGTCTAGGAGAAAGACAACTCTAAATTCAAAACGGATCCTCCAGGTTGGGGGTTGTGCAATAGGCTAACAATCTACTCACTTAAAATCTGGCTTGTTGCAGAAACCACAATATATTGCAGCCCTATGTTACCTAAAGAATTCAAAAGGCATTTTATTTATATATATATATATAGTAGCGTCCAAAACTAAGGGACAAAATTTTAAAACCTAATATTTGTTAGAAATAACAACTGTGAAAAGCTGAAATTTTGACAACTGGTAGTCGTTATCATCCATAATAACATACCGTAAGCTTACGGTCAAATCACGTTGAAACACCGGTTCTCGTTCGATCACTGAAGTTAAGCATCGAGAGCCAGGTCAGTACTTAGATGGGGGACCGCTTGGGAACACCTGGTACTGTAAGCCCTCAAAGTCCAACCCTTACTTCACAGTCGGTGGGGGTGGTAAAAGCAGTAGTGTCAGAGCTATGCCTGAACCGTTCCTGGTAGGGGCCACCAAAGCGGACAGGTCTGACACACACGCCGGCCTAACAAGGGCTCTGGTGAAAATCCAAGGAGCGTCTGCATCGGTAATCCCGGCGGCTTCTGGTCGTTCCTGTCTCTGCGTCTGTGGGAATCATGGCAAGCAAGAACGTTATCCGAGTAGGCCTGGGTACCCTACTTCTGTAATTTATCCCAAGAATCTTCTTCTCATAACAGGAAGAAACCGGCTCAATCCGCCCAGGGTGAATGCCGCATCAGACAGACAGAGAGATAATAACATACTAAAATTTGAATCATTTGCAAAGGATAGAAAAAGAATTATAACAATTATTTATTTATTTTCAAAATAGGATCGTTCAAAAGTAAGGGACAAAATTGAGAAAAACAATGTAAACAGTATGCTATATTCAAATTTTGATTTCCTCTAAAGAATAAGTCTTACTTAGTCATTTGTAAACGTTGCATCAGGGCGGCACCATGGCATAAAACGCCAAAAACTTGATTACACTGTGAGACAAGCTATTGTGAAGCTACACAAGGAAAAGCACACCATTAGAGAGATTTCAGAGAAAGTGAAACGTTCCAAGAGTGTTGTAGGCAGGGTTGTTAAATCCTACAATGATACTGGCAAAATAGTGCTTTTTAAACCCGGCAGACCCATAAAACTTGGCAAGAGAAGATCGAATAATGCAGCGTATGTCATTAAAGGACCGTTTTAAGTCTTGCACAGAAATTAAAAAAGGGTTATGAATAGTACCTCATGTGTTAATGTGTCAAGACAGACTGTTTGTAGACGACTGCAAGAAATAGGGCTGTTTAATCGAACCCCAGGGAAGAAACCACTTGTTAGTTCAAGAATAAGAAGAAGAGATTAGAGTTTGCAAACAGGTATGTAATTTGGACATGAAAATTGGGCAAAAGTATTTTTCAGTGATGAAAGCAAGTTTGATTTATTTGGAAATGATGGAAAAAACAATGTAAAGAGACGTATTGGTGAAAGATTAAGTGCAAAGTGTACTAAGAAAACTGTCAAGTTTGGGCGGAAGCATCATGGTATTTGGAATGTTTTCTAGCCAAGGTACAACGCCTCTTGTCCGGTTACAAACTCGTAAACAAGCGCAGATCTATAAAAACATTGTTCAAGATCATGTTGTGCTAATCATACAGAATTCAGGTTTCGATAGGGCTACCTTTATGCAAGATAATGCCCCATGTCACAAGGCAAAGGTGGTAATGAGTTACCTTAGCGAACAAGATTTGGAAATTATGGATTGGCCACCGCAAAGTCCTGACTTAAATCCAATGGAAAATCTTTGGAAGACCTTAGGAGTGAAAGTTATGGAAAGAAATCCCACTAACACGGAGGATTTGTGGGTGAAGCTTCAAGAAGAATGGTCTAAAATTAGTATCGAGGATTGTCAAGAACTGATTTGTTCTTGTAGTCGAAGATGTTCAGCTGTCATTGAGAGCAAGGGCTCATTTACTAAATATTGATTGTACATGTATTTTTTTATTTTTTTTGCCGTTTACATTGTTTTT